AAAGCTGGATGCTGTCAGATACCAATCCATGACTGTAAACCTGTAAACTCCAGAGGAACAAGCAGGGGCAGTAAACACAGCGCGAGACTTGGCTTGGTTTCTGCTGGGAACTGTGCAACTAGAAACATTACAACTGCAAAAAAAACAAACAACAACAAAGCAAAATAGGGATCTGACATGGGATGCATGCAGTTTTCCAGAGAGATAACCAGACATTGAAACAGAGCTCCTATAGGCTAAGAGTTTACATATGTGTGTGGGAAATTTTAGGACCTCTCCTCAAACAGCCCTTAAACGGCAATGATTTTCTGTCTCTTCATGGTACCATGTCTGTGTCTCTTCAGAAAGTCCTTGGGTACCATTGGTGTGACTTTGTGACTTTCGAACCAGCGGTTGCTAGGGGAGTCCCGAATGAGGCACATTACCTGCATTGTGAGGGAGCATCAGTTACGGCACTACAGCCATGTGGAGCATTTCCCTGAGGCTGATCCGGCTCGCGGGATCCTCGTTGCTGGGGACCCAAGCGGCTGGACCGGGCCGAGGGGACGCCCACGTAAGGAGGGTGGGACTGCGCCGTGTGTCTGCCTGGGGGGGTCGCCGGCCGGTGATTGTGAGGAGTTTCACTGTGTGGTGGCTGTGACATCATGATCCCCAAGCTGACCTGAGAGTAGTGCCCCACTGGCAGAAGTTGTCACAGTTGATTCACAAATCATTTTCTAGCATTCCCTTTATATAAAAGGACAGAGCGTCATTATTTTTTAACAAAATGACTTCTGCAGATACTTCTCAATAAACATAGATATTTAACTGTTATTAACCAATCATTTTGTTATACTTAAGTTACTCAAGTTAGAACAAAAATGTTGTATTTTTTTCTTTTTTTAATGTAGAAAAAGGGAAATGAAGGAGGCATTTTGGCTAGATATTTTGATGATAAATGGGTTGAACGTTACTCCTGCCGACCATATCTTGATGCAAATTGCCGCAATTTCGATCACTCTTGATTTCCCAGGACTGTTGCTCTCCCTCAGCGCAGTATTTCCCAATAAAGCAAATTCACTTCATTTCTTAACACGAAAAACACTTCCAGAGATTCTGACGGTACAGAACCCAGATTACAGTAATGAATAAAGTCATTTAGCTTGATTGCCAAACATTATAGTCACTAAATGCTTGTGTAACTTTAATTTACTCCATGAAAATTATGGGAGATCGTGTCTTAACCATTTATGTACCATTGCATTCTTCATAAACTCGCCTTGACGGTGCAGTGAGGAGGAATTTGTCTGAGTCCGTACATGTGGATGCAATTTAGAAAGGAGAGACAGATGAATCAGCCAGTTTTCACGGTTCCAGATATTGTTCTTATAGTACTGTTGTAACAATGTGTGCCATTGTATGTGGCAATCCTTCTCTTGAAGTTCACACACACCATGAACACACAGATCGTGGACAGCCCATCAACGTGGTGCACCAGTGAAATTTACTGCCCTCTTTGAGTAAAGCCATTGGGCTCACCTCAATGAGAAAAAAATCACCTGGTGTAACTGCATGGCACAAGACTGGCATCTTTTGGTGCCAAGCTAATCTATAATAAGCACTTGCCCGACAGTGTTGCTTTACAGGGATCAGACATACACCACAGACTTAAAGTCAGGCCAGATGTGCTTCTTCTCTATACCATACAGGATTCACAGTTTGTTGACTGTAGCATTTAAAATAAGTACCTTCCTCTCCTAGGTTCAAGTCCCTGCATGAGAAGGGAAAAAAAATTAAATGGATCATTTCTGTGCATCACATATATGTGTATAGCATCCTTTTCCCATTTCAAGCAGCAGTTCTCCTGTTTTTCCAAGAATCTGTTTGTGTTTATAGCAATTTATCATATAGAGCTAATCTGACAGTCCAGTCCCGAGGCACTACTACTGCATAGTGAACATTAAACGTGAATTAAAAGTGAATGGGGAGGTGAATGTTTCATCGATTTACAAAGACCTAAGTATAATTATTGCATTAGCCCGACACAAAAAGAAACTATTAGTTAAATAAATGGAAGGTAAGACTTTTGCTTTGTGATTGCTGATCAACTGGTCTGCTAATGCACCCTTGACAAAATTCTACTTAATGCAACGTAATACTGAAAGTGATTGTAGTTGTTATTTGTTTGCTTATTTTAGGATTTTTCGCATCTATGCGGAATGCATGTTGGTATCATCACATTACATCGCTTTAAAAATATTCGCCTACTGACAGTTCACACCACCAGTTTTAAAAAGTGATGTGGAGACGATGTGAAAAGTGATGTGGACAATTTATGCCATACTATGGATTTCCTCTGTGCCTCTTAATTTTTCCTGTCACACTAAGCAGTAGTGAACATTACCATCAGTCATCCTCACTATTATTGCTCAGTTAGAACTTTCGACTCCATCATGGCCTCCAATCATATTCAGACAAAGCTAGTAATGCCTACTTCTCAAGCTATGAAGGCCCATTTTGTTACTTTTAACCTGTTAAACACACATTTCCTGGGTGACATATTTCCAATTAACACAACATCTGAGGCACTACTGACGTCATTCGCACCGGTTAGTTGTTTAACATATTTTATTCGCTGTGTTGTATGAAACAGAAAGCAGAAATACTTTTCTGAAACAATCTTATGCCATTTTTGAAAGGTTGAATATCATTTACTTGGAAACTGAGAGTACGGGCCAATACTATTCTGATGTTATTTTTTTTTTTCGAATTTTTGCAGCCTGCGTGCACTCGCAGTGACGGCCGAATAAACGAAACTATCCATCATTTTTATATTTGTGTACAGATCGCAGAAGCAATTTTTTGGCAGGGTTTAAACATTTAGTCAAGATGTTAAATGACTGTTCAAAATTTTCTCCGATGCTAGTTAAAAAAGTAAAAAAATGTCCCCGTATTTGTATATCAGTCTCAGACTGATTAAATTCAAACCTAAGGCCGTCACAGCTGAATAGCGGCACGTATTGAATGTTGAAATCCTGAGACTTTTTCGTGTGAGTTGAAGCGAGGAACAGAGAGAGCCTTTGTGACAGATGAACGCAGTTAAGAGGTGAAGGCAGACGTCCCAAATATACTCGGCTGAAAAATATGTTTTCTTTTTAAGTGAGGACACAAAAAAGAATCAAGTAAAGCCTAAGAATTAAACCGCCTGCCAAGAATATGCCTCATATTCATTGCAAAATACACTTCAAACCCTGCATCTATTGAGCCTTATTTTCGTAAGCGCTCCGTCAAAACCACTGGATGTTATCTAGGTGCTCGTTCTGAATCTATGTCAATCTCACTATTATTTACATCCCTTAATGCTGCAGATTGATAGAGTGGTTGCATTTTTTCCCCCTGCGGTGTCAAGCAATGAGAGCTATTTCCAGGGATTTCCTGGGATTACGTGGAAGGTGAGAGGCACACTCACCCTTGCGGGATCTCTCCTCCGATACATGCCTTCCTGTCACCCTACACTGTGATGCTGTAAGGTCCATATTCTGCAACCCCACGGTACTTACTTGGATTTTATAGTGCCTGATTTTATAAGGTGCCAGGCAGGACCAATGGATTGATTTCAGGTATGACTTTAAGGTTTCTGTTAATGCATGTTCTGCATCAGCAGTTCATACACTGGTTCTGGGGGGCATTAGTGGCTAACGGTATGCCAGCACTTTGCCACACAGGTGATTACGGCATCTGAGCGTCTCCCGCTGCCCAAAACAAGAGACGGTTTCTCTTACGAAACTCACGGTCCAACCGATGTCTAGACTGAAGACCAGAGTGTTTTCTTGTGGGTTGAATTAAGAGGAACAGATTGCAACCTGTCTGATTATGATCAGAGACAGGGGTTAGTTTAATTGTTTTCAGTGCCATGTATTGTATTATATTGTGTTATAGTCACCGATGTGCATTCTGTAGGACTTCCTGAGGTGCCCTTAGTCAAAAATGGAAATTATTAACTTTTTATAAGGTTACTGTTAGTGTCTGCCTTGTTTCACAGCCTTGTAACGCAGTGAGTTAAGCGATACATTTCTCCTGCTCTCTCAGTTACGACTTTCATAACACATTATTTTTTTCTGCATTTTGATCCACAAAGCCGCTGTAAACTTTGAAGGAACACAGTCAAGATGTGACAGGTTTTTCTAAATCAAACCAAATGGGAAAATAAACTTCATATGTTATTTTCCATCGCTTTTTTAAAACCAGTTTAAGTACATCCTAGTTTCAAATGGAGCATAGATACTCATTTGGTCTGCTCCTCTATAATAGAGATTATGCCCAGAAGAGTGAAACATCTATGCCATTGAATATTAAACCGATATGTAATTATTCTTATAAGAGCTACTCATTGGCTGTCTGTGGATTATTAGTGTCTTGCAAATGACCACCACTGCTTTTAGGCTGATGATAGTGAGTCTAATATCTGCTGATCTCATGTACAGTAACTTCAATCTCTACGCTAAAAGGGTAGAAAAGTAGCACTTAAACATCCTGACAAGGCAGAAGTCAGAGAAAGGTAATGTGCCCTAGGCCCCGGTTATCTCTGAAACTACCCCACCCCCCCTCCCGCCCCCCGGTTGCCGACGGAGATATCTATTCGCCTCTCGTGAATCGGTACAGTAGCTAGGGGACAACAGACGTCGTGAGAAATCCAGTCGGCCTGCCCTGACAGGCAATTTCGCCGCCCTGTATCTGAAAACGGACCGCAATAGTTTCTTTTTAACTGAATCTTTTGATTGAGAAAATTAAGGGTTCCCATTTCGTTTCTCGGAGCACTTCTACAATATGACTACACAAAAACACCAAGACCTTATAAAAGACCCATAAAGGATTATGCATTAAGTATCTATTCATGTACTTCTTAGTATGGTGAGCTGTTCTCCCCCAAGGCAGGAACGGGCGTCTCTGTCTCTCGCTAAACGTGTTTCATGTTCGGCTCCTTTTTTCATGACATATTCAGCAAGTCTGAATGATTTACATCTCCAGTTTTTAATTTTTTATTGAAATGAGCAAAATAAGCAAAATGTATATTTCAATAGTCGACAGTTGTTCTACATTGCATCATAAAAAGGTACATTATAAGGAAATCTAGTCTTAGCTGTGTTTTTAAACACTAAGTGCCTACATGAATCAGCTGCAAAACGATCCAAATGCAAATACAAACTGATAGGATAAAACAGACAATAAAATTAAAGGATTAGATACAGGCCTATAGCCAGACCCATTCTTTAAATGTCCATTTAAACTTTGTCCAATTGTGTTACTGTCACAGACGAAAGTTAAAAAAATCGAAGCAAAGTTTTTTTTCTTCCTTTTTTCATCTAAAAAAAACAAATTATTGCAAAATAATTTTTGTCAATATATTCAAGCAATTCATAATTTTGGCATTATACAAAGATAAATCCTTTATACATCTGTTATGTCAGGTTTACAGTTGATGTATTCCTTTTCAGTTTGAGAGGACAGGAAAACATTCAATCAATTCATGATGTCAGTTCGGAGAATGAGCACTGTACATACCGAGATGCTACCTCTCTCTCTCTCTCACACACACACACACACACACACACACACACACACACACACAGGCACACACAGGCAGTGCTTGAACGCACTCAGATCAGGTCCATGGCACATTAATCACGCTCCACTCTAGGTGTCATTTTCTTCTTGGTCTCCCCAGGGTTCCTCCCCTTGGGTTTCAGGGGCTTGCTCTTGGGCTCGTGGGGTCGCACGTGGGCTGGCCCCTTTTCCGGATTGTGACCGGAGTCGTTGTGTTGCCGGGAGCAACGCTTGCACTTGCAGGAGGTGACCGCCGTGATCTTGTAGGTCCTGGTGCTGCCGTCCTGGCACTGCAGTCGGATGCGCTGGGTGCGCGTGCGGTCGTTCACGCACTTCCAGCTCTGGCCTTCCCTCCGGGCCCAGAACTTACCAACGTAGCCGCCGATCCAGTTAGGGACCATGTGGGGTGGGAGGCACTCGCCAGCACACACAAGCTCCTTCACCGGGCTCAGGCTGGTGCACATGCCGTCCGAGATGTATTTGGTAGACCGGAGCTCCCTGCATCCAACCTGGCTCCGCTCTATGGAGGAAATACAAACCGGTCAACATGCGCTAATGCGTACATGCATGCTAATGCATGCTAGCCACCTGCCAGCTAATGCAAATTTAGACTTGAAGTTTTTACCCCCCCCCCCCCCCATTTTATAGGAAATGAGGGATTAGGTGCTCTGGCCTGTGGATGATAGATGGATGATCTTTGTACATCTGCTTCTTTTGCAAAGATACTCTTCTGTAGGGGAGCTGAGAGAACAGCTCACACTATTTATAGGCTATTACCTGAGCTCCGTATTTATGTGGCATAATTATGAAGTTATAGTTTATTGAAGAGGCGTAGTCTTTTGGATTGGCGTTCATCTTGCACTCTCAGCCATGATTTATACCTGGGACGTAACACTTAAGTATGAGACATAAATTCACATACAGCTTGTGTTTTATTTACACATTCAGAGTTTTTTTCTCACATAATGACTGAATATTTTTAGAAGCGAATTCAACCCATATGTCAGCGGTATCAGGGACGTGTTTTCTTTGAGCTTACACTACAAATCTAGTTCTTAACCACTATGCCACACCTCGCCTTTGTGCACAGACAGATGTTTCCTTGGGCATATCCTGTGAGCTCAGGACAAGCCGTACAGCAAAAGGTATAATCACATACTTCCTGATGGAGGGAAAAAAAACAGACAATCTAGTCGTCAGACACGCCTTTTATCTCCATTTTCCCCCATTCGTCTCGTTAAAAGCGCTACCTGGAATCGCTTGCAGACTTCACATTCGCCTTTTGTCAGAGCTGCAAATGCTGTATCACTTGCATTCATTTGCACAGTTTTCTGGCGGCAGCGAAAGGAATCTTCTTAAAACAGGTAGCAGCTTAAAAATTACATGAATACGTCTGACATAAATTATTGCTATCTGAAGTGCATCATTTCGATGGTGTGCTCTGAAATAAACTCCACCTTTTTGTAAAAACTCGCAATATATGCTATAACATTTCTGTAGTGTTTTAATTAATGAGGTCAAGACACCTGAAACTAACTACAGTATAGATAGTACTTCGCATCTGTGGTCCTGTCGCTGAGTATATTACTTTGCATATGCCATGATTAGGACGCGACAGTACAGTAATTTTACGTACATGAAGAGCCGAAAGATATTGTTTAGCAAGAAGATGTTATTGTGGAAATAAACTTACCACTTCTCTCTGTGCTGCCCAAGCGTTTTCCTCCGTTACGGGCTCGATTGAAAGAAGTATTATTCGGAGTGTCCAGGGCTGAGAAATCCAAGTGGGAATTCACGATTTCCGTAGCATCATTACTAAACGACTGACAGCTATCCATGAAGATGCAAAACAAAAACAACAGGGGGTATTCGCATGTGATCGAGGGCATGATGCTGTAGCTGGGTCCGAAGCCGGTCTGATGTACGCAGAGGGATTCTTGCCGCTTTGTTTCGATGATATTGCCTCTTAACTAAGACGCCGTTACCATGTATCCATCCGTTGATTCGACGAGTGCAGTTTGAGATTGTGGAAAGGCAGATCGTGGCAAGTTTTATGAATGAAACTAGAGTGATCGCATCCGTGACCACACCCCCTTGCTATTCGGCGAGAAGCAGCAGTATTGAGATACCTTTAGGATTTAGGAGAGGTGAACTGACATGTTAACACCAGCAATCGGGATAAGCATCTGCGGAGGTTATTTAAATGTCTACAAGTGCAGTTAGACTGATAAGGTTCCTTTTCTCCTAAACTGAACTTCTTTAAGTGGCTATTTGAGAGGATTTGCAGTTATCTAAATAAAGCATTTCTCTGAATAGTTCCTATAGTAGGCTATATGCATTTAGTCATGCTATTTATTGCATTATATATTGTTAATTATTAAACTGTAATTTTACCAAGCTGCGCATTTTTCATGAATGACATGAAAAATCACCAACCCGCATATCAAATTTATTGGTGGTGGTTGTTTTAATTTAGCTTACGGTCCAATCCAGTGCAACTTCCGGTTTTACCTATTTAAACAGCTGAACAGTGACACCTAACATAATTTTTCACATATTGGGCAATTTGTATTTTATCGCATTTCTGCCTCATTCCTTTGCTGTCAGGCTTAGGAAGAAAAAATGCAGAAATAAAAGAGAACCTGCAGGCTGGAAAGAGGATCAGTATATTCGACACCGCGCAGTGTGCGCGCAATTAGAACTTTTCCTTTTATGAGCCTAATATGCGTAACATAATTACACAGGAGTCGAGATAATATCGCGGAAATACAGAATAAGCAGAATACCCCTGACAAGATCTCTGACATTTTCAATGATGGGAATGATGTCGGGCAGAAATTGTACACGCTGGAAAATATCAGGATCAAAGTTAGCCTGTGTAACTCCCTATACGTACTATTACCTCCACATGAAATAGAGAAGCTCTGATTGTCGTAACCATTTGGTTTATTAGCGAAGAGTGAGGGATCCACAACAGCTGTCAGAGTTTTTATTAATGCTTAAATTATACTAAACCGTACCTACACTTCTCCCGGAGAAATCAGAACTGTATTTGGTGAAGTTTGCATTATTATTATTATTATTATTATTATTACACTTTGTCCAGGAATGCAAGTAAAAGAAAAGCTCATATATTCGCAATAACAAAAAAATCTAAACCTTTTTTTAATGAAAAAGTATTAACTATTTTCTAGACGTATCTTTAAGAATGGCCATTAATGGCTCACGGCTCTTTATTGACACCCTGAGTGGCTTTGTATTATTCATGCGCCAGGATACGACCGATCAGGCTACAGCCCTGGTACAGGTCCAGAGTCCATTTCTGTACCTTAGTAGGTACAAGTACCTACAGCTAGGGTACAACTGGCAGACCCAGTGACAAATAATTGTACCCTCAAATTGTACTTTAAATTTACTTCGTAAATTGTACTTTTTTTCTGACGGTGCATACGCTTAATAATAATGGCCTTATCTACAATAATACAGTACCTCATATTTACACATTTTGATATTACCGAAAAGGTGAAAGTCCGCCCCCTGGTGTTACATCAGTAAACCGCAATTTTAATGTAACTTGAAGTTTCCTTAACATACCTGACAAGTTTTGGTTTTGGAAAATAAGGGAAATTTCCGGCACCCACCGCGAGCCACTCCACCACCCCAACCAAGCTCCAGTATCCCTTACATTTTAAGACAGGTGTACAAGAGATCTAAAATAACCACTTGTCATTTACATTTTATTTTCATTACACATTTTCTTTTAATTTCTCATGTTCACTCATGTGGCTCTCTGGCATTCACTAATGACTTATTATACAGATTTGTTGCAGACTTTGTATCCTTGTTGAAGTTGTCACAGAAGGTGAAAGTAACGTTGTTTTTTTCACACAGCATTGCCATTTAACCTCCGTATTTATTACCTGGTTAATGTTGTAAATGACCTGCAGATTACTGCAGGTGGCAGCTCTTGCGAGGCTACTGACAGTTCAGTTTGGAGAGGCAGAGGATTTATTTTTTTATTGATATTATAATACGGGAGATTTACGGGAAAATACTAATACTGGAGGACGGCGGGAAAGAGGGGTAAAATACGGTAGTTTCCCGGCCAAAACGAGAGACTTGACAGCTATGTTCCTTATAAGTGTGGGAAGATGAACCTGACGAAAAGATCTGGTTGTTTTTACAATTAAGTGGTCAATCGTGGAATAACACCACTAATAGTGATACAGGGAAGATATTTTATAATCCAAATTGTCACAGGACTGAGGAATTGAGGCCTATCATTGACGGTGTCTGGACAGCATCTCTTCTGATCCATTTTAGTACCAAAGTTTGCGCATTTTAGAAGAGACACACGGTGACTTTCAGGTAAAACGTGGTAACAGGCCCAGCAAAGTCATTACGGTGCTTCGGAAACAGAACAGCCACTCAGGGGACTCAGTATCCTGCGACAAGGTCACGCCCTCTGCTATTGGGGGGTCAGGGAAACACTCAGTGGGGTAATTCTGACACCCTGCGTCAAACAAAAGACGACAAATAAGCTGAGAACAAAGCTTGGGATGATCAGAATGGACCACTGTCTTTTTGGGAACGCTTTCCATCTATGAAACCTCCCATAATCAGATTTTAGTTATCACACATACATGTTTCAAGTTTCCATCAAGTAGTCTTACTGGCAGACAGACGTCTGGAATTCCTACCACTGTACATGAAAAATGTAAACAAACTACACGTCAAACGCGCCTTCATGGAAAGTTTCATTCATTCCTCTTCATATCATTTCCGTTTCGGACAGTCGCTCATATGCAGCGTCGACACAAACGTGAGTCTGGATGGAATTAGCCAGCAGTATTCCTGATAGGCCACTGCCCAGCCCAGGAAGGCTCAGCAGTATTCCTGATAGGCCACTGCCCAGCCCAGGAAGGCTCAGCAGTATTCCTGATAGGCCACTGCCCAGCCCAGGAAGGCTCGGCAGTATTCCTGATAGGCCACTGCCCAGCCCAGGAAGGCACACCTGGGCATCTGCTCATCCCGCAGCGTCTCACTCTTCATCCCTTCCTTTGTCTGCTGTCCCCACAGTAGAGCCAACATACTCACCAAATCATCTTCAGATCACTGGTTAATGAGACAAGACATCCCAGCAGATTCGTGTCACACTAGCAGACCCATTTCACTGTATTTCTGTAATGCTTGTAAAGTCTCTCTGGGTGATACAGCTTGCAGAACAAAATGACAGATGATTAAATCACAGTTTTCACACTGTGTACCCGGGGCCCGGAACCAAAGACGGATGAGAAGTCAGAGAAAAGTGAAAATGCTAATGGGGAAACTGGAAAGTGAGACTGACTGCCACGGGCAGCATTTGCATGCTGCTGTGAGACATCCCACACGGAAGGTCACGTGTTCACGACCCACCAGCAGAATGGCTTCAACACGCTGTCAAAGCTAAAAGCAGAAAGCTACCTTAAACAAAGGCCAAGGACAGACAACTGTAATACTCGCGATCTACCTGCATGCAAATTGCTAATGTTTCCAGGGGAATTCGTCTTTCTAGGGTGCAGAAAACATGGGTGGGGAAAGAAATCTGTTTACATTTGTTTCTACACCCCAGTACATGTTCATCTCTAAAATTCGAACAGAACCTACTGATGGTTTTTGTGTTTGTCACGTGCTGGTAGGGGCCAGTGGGCTTCCAGGTACAGCGGGGGCCCATGCTACGGAGCTACGGTCACATGGTGTGGGGGGCTTGGAGCAGCGGGGAGAAGGTTAGCATCGTGGCTGCTTTGATGGTTAATGCTCACGCAAGTGACCAGATATTCCTCCTGGACGTCGGAGGAAGACATGCATAGGTCCTCCAATGAGCTAGCAGCCGTCATGCCCTCTGTTGGAAAAAAAATGAAATGATTAGACATTAGCTAGCTCTGCAGAGTGAGGAAAGGGCTAGAGCAGAAACCATAGCAAGAACCAGGTCACATGATGTCTAGCTTGCAGATAGTCATACACATAGTTACAAAGTAGCAGCAGAAACTCTGCACATGAGATACAAACTCACAGGTGCTAGTTATATATTTATCCTTGCCCACTGATCTCCACCATAAGCATGAGTCCTTGTATCGGTGTAATAACAGCCTTGCAGTGGCACTCTCAATTGTATAAGGAACTGTGGTCATTCAAAAAATTAATTAGCCTGAAGATAATCTGAAAAAACAGCATTATTTTGGCCTCAGCCAGGTCCTGTTTGTGCATGAACTAATGGAGTTTCAGACATGGACGGCCGCAACACGTCACCCGGATAGGACGAGCCCTCCCAGAAGAGGGTAATAATATCGCCCTGCCCGTTGCTGGGTACTTGGGTAACGGTAAACCATCCGCTTTGCACACGTGGCATCCTGCAGTCAGAACATCACTTGGCAGCCCCCTTGTCACCACATGTGGTGCAGAATTCGGCGCTTGTGAAGCCCATCTGACCTGTGAGGGCTTTTACAAGAATGTCCAGGTTGCCTTTATACTTTTGCAGGACCCAGTTGATGTAGCGCATCTTCATGGTCAGAACCTCGGTCATGTCCGGCTGCTTCACACACTGCTCACAGATCAGATCCATCACCCCGCAGAACTTTTCCAGGGCTCCCAAGTCCACCAGCAGGAGGTTCTCCTTGATCAGCATGACCATCTGAGGAGGAAATGGATGCAGTGAGAGAGAGAGATGGGGGGGGCATTACCATCTGACACCTCGTCTTCTCACACTCCACTATGGCATCCTGATAACTATCTCAGCAGAGGACAGAGTACCAGTAAGAGACTCCAGCAGTATCGTGACGCAGCACAGAGCACCGATCCTTAGATACTGCAAGCTGAATGACAGCAAAGCATTATGTTCTCCAACCGCACAGTGTCTGAGAGTGACTGAGTGGGTGACAGATTTTTTTATGCAGGTACGTGCTATCCTGGGGGGGGGGGGGGAATTTGGGAAAAAAGGGGGAAATTTTTTCCCATTTCCAGGGGGGGGGTTAAAAAAAAAACCTTCCATTTGCCCA